TTTCGGCTGGATTTGTTCCTGTAATGAATTGTTCTGTAAATAACGAAACAAACAAAAAGGAAAAATGAGTTAATTCCATTTCTGTTTTGTGATTCAAGCAGTATTCGTTTGTTAGTCTTGGGCCATGCAGCATCACTTTTTGTGGGCTTGTTTTGTTTTAGTCTTCAGACAAAATAATTCTGGTCTGAGTTGAGTTTGGGCCGGTTATGACTAAGAAGTTTTTTTGTTAATAAAAACAAATAGAAATCAATTTTATGATATAATTTTTAAATTAATATATATATATATATATATATATATATATATATATATATATATATATATATATATATATAAATAAACAGTAATATTAATAATAAAGATTAAGCAGAATTCAAAAATTGAATGGAGCCCCAGATTGGGACTTCCAAACGAATTGACATGGGCCTCACCAAAAAGATAGATTATTTTATACACCTCTTTATCTAAATGGGCCTAATCGCTAACAAATTGTTCACCTCCTTGATTAAACAAAACACTTTCTTTTCTAAACTTGAAATGAGCTGCAAGAAATACATGAGCCCTTTCTAGCTTTAGAAAGGCCCATAATCTTTTCAAAGTAATATTCTTATAAAATGCTTCCTCTCTAAAAAAGAAACTTTAATGGGTCATCAGATATTGATGGTCTATTTTTGATTTATACACCGCTTTTCCTTGTTTTAAAACTCCTATAAGAGAGACGACTGTATAATGCGATTTATTAAAAAGAACCCTAAATACAATATAAGGATAGGGAAAATTTGGGGTATGACACAAAGTTACATAGAGATAACTCATGCTCTACTCTTCAATCTCTTCAGAACCAGGAATCTCCTATCCTGATAATTGTTTAAATTTTGTTGTCCATTGATAACCAGAGCACAATCATTCCAGTCTTCCACAAGGAACAGAAGTACCAAAAAAATTACTCCCTGATGCTCACCCAATGGTCAAGGTGCCTGCTCTGATACCAATTGAAATTTTTCTAGTACATGCAACACATACCAACAAAAGAACTATGTAAAGACAAATGTTACAACATCTGATATGACATCCTGAATAGATTCATCAAGTTAAACACATACAAATACTTAAACTGCACAAAGATAAATAACACAACGATATGTTAATCCAGTTCGGTGCAACATCACAGATCAGTGGTTTTTACACAGATATTTAATATTTATTTTAGTTATCGTTTCTTTTACTTATCGAGTTTTTATTTTGTTTTATCGCATATTATGCTTTGGTTTTGTGTTTTAGTTTTTTTTAGGTTCAAAAGAATAAAACAGGATAAATCGGGACGGAAAAAGTGCATAATTTAAAGTTTCTGAAGAAATACAACAGGAGCCCTGACACTGGTGGCCGTGTCACCTGACATGGCCACCCGTGTCAAGAGGAAGACATGGAAACGTGGAAAACAGACCCTGACACGGGTGGCCCTGTCGCTTGACACAGGTTGTGTCAGGGGGAGACTTGGATAACATGGAAAACAGGGCTGACACGGGCAGTCGTGTCGCCTAACACGGGCCGTGTCGCCTGACACGAGTCGTGTTGGCCAATGACGTTGATTTTAAGTGTTTTTATGATTTTTCACTATTTGAGACCCAATGGGCATTTGGGCATTTCCGACCGAGACAAAATGGATTGTTCACTATTTAGTCAAGTTTGAAAGAGGAATTAGGGGACTTTTTATCGCACTAAGAATTGAGGATTGGAGAGAGAAACGTATGAGATTCTTGGAGGATGGAGATTTTTCATTAACTATTTGTGCAGTTTAAGTATTTGTATCGTTAAACATTTCATCATTTATCTGTAATGTTTAATCTTTATATCATTAAAATTCTTTTAAACAATATGAGTAGCTAAAACCCCTAATGCAATGTGGTATCCATGATTTAAATTTGTAATGATTATGAATTCCTGAGTTTTTTAATAAAGTCTTCTCTATTTGATTTAATTGTATAATATTTTTATACCTTCCTAATCAGAAAAATTAAGATTGATTTACAGTTAACAACCAGCTGGACCGCGGTTGTTAAGGTTTTTGTATAATTAGACTATAGTAGATATCATCTAGGACTAGGGATACTCTATAGTTATCGAATTTAACCCTTGATAAAATAAAGGCTTGACTCCAACAGATATCTCTAAGGACTTAGGATTTAGGATGGATGGTTAAAGGTTTTTCCATTAAGGACTTAGGGGAAGATAATCTAAAGGGCTGGTAATTGAAGGACATGAACTTGTTGAAGAGATCGGGATTCAAGATAAATGCAGGGCAAATTATACACCTTACCCTAGCATGCTCCTCATATCTGTGAAAATGTCATTTTATATTTCTGATTTTTGTTAAGTGAGAATATCAAAACTAAAACTCCAAATTAAGTTTTTATTTAATTGAACTACGAATTTATCTCAATAATTGCAAGCATTCCTTGAAATCGATATCTTGGGAATTTCCCATTATTATCGCAAGGCAAAAATAGTACACTTGTTATTTTTCCTATCAATCACCTACTTTGGAGGCTACCAAGTCAAGAAGAAAGTCCACTATCAACAGTATTAGTTCTTTGAACTTCTTAACAAGTGATATTATAGCTTTGTTGAGAGCACAAGATGTAGATTCACTTAAAAGAATGTGAGAGATTCAGACTTGCGAAAAGATTGTTGAGTTCAAATGTGAGTGATTAAATTTTATTTTGATTATGAAAGAATAAAATGTTAAACTTATAATAGAGATGACTCATATATCTAATTTCTTAAGATTTTGAAAAGAAAAGTGATATCTCCACATGCATTCCTACTAAATTATTTGAATTTCATATACATTTTGTATCTCTCATATAAATTTTACACAATATGAAAGAGTGTATTACTGACACCCATCAAAATTTATTATGTCTAAAAGAATTATTAAGTTTATGTGTAAGTAATAATATATATATATATATATATATATATATATATATATATATATATATATATATATATATATATATATATATATATATATATATATATATATATATATATATATATATATATATATATATATATATATATATATATATATATATATATATATATATATATATATATATATATATATATATATATATATATATATATATATATATATATATATATATATATATATATATATTCAAAAAGTAGAGTTTTTGGTGCTTGTTTAAGGAAATCGTAATTATCAAAATAACCTTTGAATTCAATTTTATCTGAAAATATCAATTCAATTATAAATTATATTATATTTTTAAAATATAAATTAAATAGCATTTGCACATAGATGTGTAGACTAATATCTCAAATTGGAGAGGATCACGATGAACAACAAAATACTCTTTTTTTTTATTTAATATTATTGTATATAAATAGTTGAATTCGAATAAATTCCATTATATTCAATTAACTTTAAAATAAAAATATACAATTTTACAAAATCAAAATTTTTAAAATCAATTTTCTTCTAGGATAATCAAACATACACTTAGAGTGTGTTTGGATTAGCGGTAAACAAAATTCATTCTAGTAGAATTGAGTTTGATAAAATTGATTTTATCAGAATTAAGTTTAGCATAATTGATTCATATTTAGATACATTTATGTAAAAGTGAATTGAACAATAAATTTCAGTGTAAAAATCATATATAATCAATTCTGGAGACAAAAACTACAAATTATAGTTTTAAGTAGAATCAATTCTAAATACAGAATTAATTCTACTTTTTCCTAACCAAACATATCAAAATCATCCCGAATTAATTCTATACTTTAAAATTATTTTTGACTATTTCAAAAGTCAAACCAAAGAAGCACTTAAAACTTGAGAATGTGAGAGAAAGTACATGTTCAATAATGTGAAGTAGTATCCTAAAGAGGTTAGGTGAAGCAATAACAGCATACAGCTGCATACAACTGTTCTCGTGACCTTAATTAATGTAATATATTGAATCAAACCACTCCTTCTTTTCCATCTTTCTCAATATTACTTCAATTTAATGCATGCACACTATTTCAGCTAATCTTTCCACATCAATAGTAGACACCCATTTCAATTTCATTTCAAATTTTGAATTTGAATCTTCATTTCAACCATATTATAAAGTTTTAATAAGGCCCCTAGATTTTGCATTTAATATAGGGCCCAAACTCTGCTCTACTCTCACCTTTTCCATAAAGACACATTTTCTGTCATAACTTTCTCTAAAATACTACTTCACCTCTGCATCACTTTCTTCTCAAGACTCAAGAGTTTCTTCTATTGCATGGTGACACCATGTTTATTGTACCAACTTACAAAATGAATAGTCTCTAACGTCGCGATTATAATAGTGACCAGAAAGTGTATGTTATATAGTACTATTACGTGAAAAAAAACATACAATAAGTATATGATGACATTTCGTAATTATGTTAACTAACGACCAATTAAACATTAATTTTCCGCAATAACAAGAGTTCTAACGAAACATAAATTAAAACTTTAGTATCATGTGAAAACTGATATCTAAATGCATGTTTGGTTCTCTCGCGCCAAACCTTTAACTATGACATTTCAAAGCTCAAAATTGGAGATTCTATTGAACGCACCCGGTGATCACTAAATCCACCGCAAAAACAAACATAGGCGCGTTAAATGTCTATCATTCGTGCGTCTAGCTTAATCTACAAGTCACGCGGAGCGGAGTTTTAAGGGTCATGGTGGTTGGTTTTGTGACACAAAACCGAACAAACCAGAAGTAAACAAAAGAATCTGTCAACAGTTTTTTCATCTCCACTAAGGTGAACACATATTCAATGGACATCAACAAAAAAATTCATGCAGAAACAATGTATTAAAATCCCACAAACTCATCACTTTTTTTCTCCTCCTCCACTTATCTACCACTAAAAATATACTTTGATAAATAAATCTATATCCTAGAATTGTAAGATAAAATAAGAATGGTTGAAAAAAACTAAAGTGTAGAAGTAGAAGCAGAAGCAGTTGAAGAATGAACAACCTTATTCTGTTTTCCAGTGAGCCAAAGCAAAGTCCTTCTAGCAAATGAAGGTGCTCTAGCTTGAGATGAATCCATACTATAGCAACTTTGATTCTCTTCATCATAACCACCAAATTCACTTCCTCCAAAATCCATCTCAGAAACAGTACTTCTTGCATGAAACCTCAGATTCTTACCCTTCAAAGCATCATTACTTTGTAATGGAAACCTAAATGAAACAGCTCTTCTAGATGAATCTGCAGCATCACCATTAGTCTTATCTTTCTTCCCTCTAAGCCAAATCTTCGATATCGAAAAACTCTCTTTTCTACTCTTTCCAATACCTGCAAAATCCTCAACTACTCCTCCTCTAGTTGAATCAAAGCTTGTAAACTTGAAATCTCTTCTGGATTCGCAATCACATTCCGACATTGCTGGCCTATGTCCTGGAATCAAAGGCAAAACAGCTTTCTTCTTACTCGATTTCATCTTCATCGGAGTTCTTATCGGTACCTGCAACGAAGATGTTTCGTCCATAATATAAGCAAATGAACCCATCGAAAAACACCTCCTATCATCCACATTGTTGCTACTACTTCCTTCCCCTCCTCCACCACCCCCATCAACATTCCTATACTTTCCAAGCTTAACAGTCACAACTTTCGGATTAGGAATGTTTTCAACCGAAGCCGAATCCGAATTCATTGTCATAACAGAACTAGTCCTGCCAAGAACACTACTACCTGTACCTATAGCAGTAGCAGTAGGATTATCTCTTTCTGGAACAATTTCTCTTGAACTATCACTACCAGATTCTAGAACAAGAACAATAGGGGAACAGTTATTATTGTTTGTGTTGAAATCATGAAGCAAGTTACCTCTACAAAGAGGACAAGTAGAATGAGACAAAAGCCAAGTATCAATACACTCCATATGAAAAGCATGGCTACATTTCGGCAACAACCTAAGCTTATCTTCGAGCTCAAATTCACACAAACAAACAGCACAATCAAAAGGGTTCTTCAATCCAATAATAGCCTTATAAAGAAACACAGGAAGAGTAGTATCAATGAAAGACTGGTCAACACCAGCATCATGAAGATGAAAAAGCTGCTGCAACTGTCCTTGAAGAGCAGTAACATCGTCCAGTTCATCACTGTCTCTATCCCGAGGCCTCCAAAGGAACCGAACCAGGAGATGAAGTAAACCAGAAACGAAGAAAACAATGGCTAGAATGATGATTATTAGAAGAATGCTTGGACTAACCTTCAAGGATTTATCATTTGGACTGAGATTATCAGATCGAAGAGATGAAACAGTGATGGGTGGAAATGGTGATGGGTTTGGATGAAAATGAAAAGAATAAGGTGGTTGTGCTAATGGAGGCATAAAGGTTTCATCTTTATATGGAAGAAAAGTTCTTCTTCCCATGTTGAAGGGTCAGAGAGACAAGAGAAAAGATTGAAACTTTTTTACTAGATTTGGTTGAAGACATTGAAAAAGGTTGTAACTTTAGTTGAAGAATCCATGTATGGATATGGTTTTGTTTTATCTAATGGAAGAAAAAACAAGACACAAAACGATGTAAGGAACAAATCTGGGTTGTGTTTTGTTTTATTAGAGCATGTAAGGTGGGAAAGAATGAGTTTCTTTGAATATGAAAGAAAAAGAAAAAAATCAATGGAAATTAATTTTGTTAATTGATAATTTATGATGATTTCAAGGGCCTCATAAATAATTGAATGATAATGACTCGTATAGTATCTCTCATAAAATCAACATCAATTATGAAAATCTTTTTTATTTTTTTTCCTGCAAAATTATTAAATTTAACTTTAAATCATGTTTTAATCTCTATAAAATTATTTATTATTTATAATAATGATTTCTCTCAATTACTTGTTTAATGATTGCAACAAATATGTATGTATTACATAATGGAATATCAAGTTGAGGATTATAAGAAGGAGGACTAACTCCAAAAATGAAATGATTTTGTAATTTGAACTTTTATTTCTTCCTTTTCTCTAATTTGTATTCTTCTTCTTCTGCACCTTTATTCATGGCTACGTCTTCGGTTGTTAACTTTACTCCGTTCTAAATTCTCAGTTGGTAACTTTACTCCATTTCATTTAACTTTAGTCATTATAACTTCAATTTTATTTTGGTTTTAGTCCTTAATTATGGATTTGTGTTCATATCTTCATGCCTAATTTTCATATAAATCTATAACTTTTTTAGATCGATGTGAACATATGTGTTCGTTTATGAGGTATTCATGTATGTTTATTTAGTGCTCCACTATTTCAAACCATAATCATCTTTGGTAGTTTGATTATGTAACTTTATTATTCACTCTTTTTCTCATAATCTTCACCTGAAGGTTGAGAAAAACACAAGAAATGAGGGGAGTTTGAATTGCGTTTTCAAAAACTTTTTCATTTAGAAGTGTTTCACACAAACAATCAGAATTAGAATCAATATTATAGAGAGAAATAATGACACTTTCGGTTTATACAGGTTCACCTTAGAAAAGGTTAATCATGTTCACCCGGCAAGGTGATTTCGTCTTAGAAAAGGACTTAATCATTTATAACCAAACTGATTATAATTGCATGGGCTACCTGTAGTGGTAGAAATGTTGAGACTAAGCCATCAGATTGACTTGACTCGCACAGATCAAAATAAAAATCACCACCGTGCTTTATATATTTCTAAAGGAATGGGAAAAGAGCGAATAACCCAAAAGAGGGGGGAAAGATTCTAGGTAAGGGGGTTGGTTATGCAAAGGAAATGTATTATCATCCTAAACATCTACGGTATTATGCAGGAACCTCTTTGTAAAATTTGTATGTTTTGGATATAAAATGTTGTATAAAAATAGATTGTGGGAATGAGAAAAGAAATATATTTTTTTATGATTTTTACACCCGCCGCAGTTGTGAACCTTTAGTGCCTACGTACCACCTTCCGTGCAATAGGGGATCAGGGTACACGTAGTTCCTCTTTAAAAGTTTTTTAAAACACAAGTGTGTTGGTTAATTTTAAGAGATAAGACATCATCGTCTTATCCGAGTGGAAGAACATACTTACTACCCATGATTATGAGAAAGGAGAATTTGCGTCATCTCAAAGTAGAGGATACGACTTGGATTTTAAAATCAACAAAGTCTCGCTCAACACCCAAGTGGAAAATATCTAACTTCACAATATATCATAGAAGTATAGTAGTTCGCATCACTATAAGGATTGACAAGAGTCTAATCTTTTGAGAAAATTTTAAAGTAAAAAGCCAAAATGACAAAATGGTTTGAATGATATTGATTAACTTTTAATCTTCTCACAAAAATGTCAAGGTATTGTTAAGTTGATTAAGAAAATATTTTTGAAAATGCATGGACCTAAGTCCAAGTTTATTATGAATGAGGTTCAAGTTAAAAGCAAGAAGGGTTTTGAAAAGGAGGGAGGAGATTTTTTGAAATTAAAGAAGATGGGAGGAGATGAAGAGACTACCCTAAAGCATAAGGTAAAAGTTAGGGAAAAGAATTGTCTAACCAACAAGAAGCCAACACTTGACACAATGAGTCAATGTAGAATTCTATCCTTTGGATTTGAAACCAAGCAAGCAATTATAATAAACCTCTTTAAGAATACCAAGCTTTAATTGCACTAAGTCTTCACAAAAATTGGGCAGAGTAATAATTGTACACAGATGAATTCCAGATTACAGATAAAGTGTGTAATCACAATAATATGCACACTAAGCAAACAAACAACCCAATGTCCTGGGGTAAACCCTAAGAACTCCAGACAAAATAAAAAACAGATCACAAAGGCTCAAGGTAGGCCACAACTTCTAATCCTAAGTCCAAGAAGTCCACCACTCCATAATGCCAAGGATAGTAACCAAGTAGTCCAAGTAACATTAAAGCTTTTAGGGTTCAAGTTGATTATTAGGTATCTTCAAAAAGAAAATGAGAAACTCAAGTGAGCAAAATAAAAATGACATGAAGATAAAGGCTCAAGTGAGCAAAGATAAAAGTAGTATGAAATGTAAATGTTAAAGTAAATGGTAAATAAAGTAAAAGCATAATAATAAAGTCAATTGTTAGGAATTAGTAGTTATTTAGATGACCATCTTGAAACTTGCATTTTGAAACTCATTAGAGGGTTAATAGAACCAAAGCCTCTCAATAACAAGTTGCATTTGCTTTTTATCAAGTATATCATCCATTTAAGAATTCTCAAGATAACACTTAATGATCAATGATGTTTAAGTGATCCACTTTGACCAAAATTGATGAAGTTCCATTAGAGGATTGGTAGAACCAAAACCTCCTAACAATGGATCTCAAGGTAATTGGATCAAAGGGTTCAAATTAACATACTTTGGCTTGCAAGCATAGGTTTGGGCCACGAATGATCATTTTCTCAAATTGGGACAAAATTTAGCGCTATGTTAAACAATCGTAAGTGGACTTATATAGAAGTCACACCTATTTTGAGGCCGGTCAATAGCAATCTATGCACCTCATGTTTTTAGACATGATATGTAAATCATGCTCCAATAACATTTGGTAAATAAGAATGGGATAAGATGAAAAGGGAAGGGGAAATGAATAAACCACATTTGAACCAAAAATTTAATCAAACTATTATTAAAATCATTCATCCATTTTTATGGAGTTAGACTCAACACCATAGATCGAATGATGTTAATAAAGTTCATGATCAAAATTTTAATCCAAGATCAGCCAGAATATATACAAAATAAAATTATGTTTAAAATAAAAGAAAAAAAGTTTTTAAAATGATTATAAAATGGAATAAGAGAGAAAATTAGCAACTATATTAAAATTAATCAAGAAAAAATAGGTAAGACCATAGAAAAATCAGGAATGAGTTCAAATATTTATATAAAAATTTTGGTAATTTTTTAAAGTCAAAAACTATTTTTAAAATTAAAAGAAGTAGGTAAAATAAACCAAAAATAATAAAAAATAATAAAGTCAGAAATAAAAAATAAATGAGGTCACTAATATTTGTCAAAATGTCATTGGATCATTCCCTATTTTTTCAGAATTTAAAAATGAAGAAAAATATTTTTAAACATTTAAAACAACTCAAATAAAGTGAAAAATTATAAAAAATACTAAAATACAAAATAAAATTGTGAAAAAATAAGAATCAGAAAGAGAAAAATCGAAAGTATTTTCCCTAATTTTTAAAGTTTTTTTGGAGTAAAAATGAATTTTCTTTGAATTTTTGAAGTTTAAAACAATTTAAATATAAAAATCAGAAAATAAAATAAAATAAAGTCAAAAAAATATGGACCAATGGATGAGAGTCAAAACGCGTTAGTAAGCTAATCCAATGGATCAGACGCGCTTTGCATATCATGGTCGTTATTGAATAAAGCACTGAATCACATATAAAATCAGATTTAAAAAAAAAACAAAAAACAAATGGCACGTCATCATTGGTTTGAAGATGACACGTTGGTCATCTTCAAACTCCAGCCAACGTGAAACACAGGTCCCTCAAACTGTAAAATCAGAAGCTCAGACATATGCCATTTGCTCCGTCTCATCAAGACGAAGACAACCACACCTTCGCAAAAAATTTATATAAATTGTAGCTCAAACAATTTGGAAGAGAAGTTTTGAAAAGGGATTTGAAATTTCGTGGTCAAAATGTGCTTCCAGTTAAAAATAAGTGTTGCGACTAGGACCAGGATGATGAGATCTTCACAATAGTATCAAAGTTTGAGAGAATTGGTGAAGGAATCTACCTATTGAAGTTGAGTTGCAGAGCTCTGAAACTGGACTTGGCTAACACGACTTAGGGAGTTTTAGAGCTTAATTCTTCTTCTGTTAGCTTCAGTGAGGTTCAAGGAAGGTGAATTGACAAATAAAAATGATTGAGAAAAGCTGTAAGAACAACTTCAAAGTTATAGGAAATTGAGTTCAAGAGAGAGTTTGGCAGGGTGATTCTGGCTTTCTAAGCTTGAGGAAATGAATGAGGGATGCTCCTCTATTTATAGGGAATCAAATGGGATGCTCAAGCGTGTGAAATGATGAAGTTTGGAGGGAAATCGTGTGAACATGATACACAAGCAAAGTATGATTTGTTTTGCATCAAAACTCATCTAATCCTTACGTTTTAAGGCTCTAATGCACTTTGGCAAGTTGGTTAAACATGTTTAGACCAAAAATGCGTGCTAATTTGATGTTTAAAAGCTACAACATGAACTTCAAATTATGACTTGTGGTGAAACTTCAATTTTAAGTTACCAAATTCAAATCAATGGTGTGCATGATTTAGGGCATCTCAAGACTTGATTCTTGTTGCATTGGAAATATGAGATTACAAACTTTACAATGTGCAAAGAATGGGATCAAATGGATGCTTGAGCTAAAAATTGTAATGAG